AATCACACAGCTGTACAGGATCACCGCGCGATCACACAGCTGTACAGCTTTACTTCTCCATTTGTTCCACCTGCCATGTGCGACTTGCTCCCTCTCTCTTCTTCCTTACTACAGAGCTGTTGTTGTGAACTAATTTTTCTCTAAGTTCCAAAACAATGCAACAGCTTGTCAAACTGCAATTTCTTCTCCAAGAATTTGAGGAAATCAGCTACAACAGTGAAAATGCCTCAAAAAAGGAGCAGCTCTTAGATACAACTTTTCCCATCCTCCATCTTGTATTACACAGAATCTATGATGGAGGGAAGGTCATCGATGAAGCAGCTGAAGATGTTTGGGCCTAGGACCCTACCCTGAGGAACTCCTGCAGAGATGTCCTGGAGCTGAAACGACTGACTTCCACCAACCACAACCGTCTTCCAATGTCGGGTGTGACACCACCCAGCACAGAGTTTGCCACCTGATACCCATTCATTCCAGTTTTGCTCAGGCTCCTTGATGCCACACTCAGTCAAATGTAGCTTCAGTGTCAAGGGCTGTCACTGTCACCTCACCTCTGGAATTCAGCTCTTTTGTCCATGTTTGAACCAAGGCTGTAATGAGGTCAGGAGCTGAGTGGCCCTGGGGGGAACCCAAACTGGGCGTCACTGAGCAGGTTATTGCTGAGCAGGTGCTGTTTGATAGCGCTGTTACTGACATCTTCCATCACTTTACTGATGATCGAGAGGAGACTGATGGGGCGATAATTGGCCGGGTTGGATTTATCCTGCTTTTTATGTACAGGACATACATGGGCAATTTTCCACATTGTTGGGTAGATACCAATGTTGTAACTGTACCGGAACGGCTTGGCTAGGGGAGCAGCAAGTTCTGGGGCACAAGTCTTCAGTACTATTGCCAGAATGTTGTCAGGGCCCGTTGTCTTTGCAGCATCCAGTGTCTCTCACCACTTCTTGATATCACGTGGAGTGAATTGAATTGGGATCTGTAATGCTGGGGGTCACTGGAGGAGGCCGAGATGGATCATCCACTCAATACTTCTGGATTAAGATTACAAAGACCAAAGAATACACATTTTGCCCTTTCAGTTGCTGTGAATGCTTCGGCCTTGTCTTTTACACTGTTATACTGGACTCTTCCATCATTGAGGATGGGGATATTTGTGGAGCCTCCTCCTCCAGCGAGTTATTTAATCATCCAACATTTTTCATGTCTGGACATGGCAGGACTGCAGAGCTTAGGTCTGATCCGTTGGTTGTGGGATCGCTTAGCTCTGTCTATCACTTGCTGCTTTCGCTGTTTGACGTGTAGGTAATCCTGTTTGGTGGCTTCACCAGGTTGATACCTCATCTTCAGGTATGCCTGGTGCTGCTCCTGGCATGCCCTCCTGCACTCTCCATTGAACCAGGGTTGATCCCCTGGCTTGATGGTAATGGTTGAGTGGGGGATATGCCGGGCCATGAGGTTACGGATTGTGCTCTGGAGTACAATGCTGCTGCTGTTGGTGGCCCACAGCGCCCCGTGGATGCTGAGTATTGAGTTGCTCAGTCTGTGCGAAGTCTGTCCCATGTAGCACGGTGATAGCGACACACAACACAATCGAGATTGTGCTCCACATGAGGTGGGACTTCATCTCCACTCTTACCGATACTGTCAGGGACAGATGCATCTGCAGCTGGCAGATTGGGAAGGATGAGGTCAGCTCTACTTTCCCCTCTTGTTGGTTCCCTCACCGCCTGCGGCCGAGCCAGTCCTGGTGGTGAACATTGAAATCCCCCACCCAGTGTCTGCTCACTGTGAACACCACCCGCCCACTGGGTACACACCCATCCAATGTGTCCATGTCCCATACACAGGGGCAGTGGGAATGTTCAGACCCAGCCTCACTATGGGACAGTGAGTGCCTGTGGTTCCAATCTCAGGAAATTCCTGATGAGCAGCAGGAATGGGAGCTGGGCTGGGATTTGGGATTCAGGTGCCAGTGAGTGAGAGAATCTGAAAATGAATGTCTGCAGTAATTCTTCCCTCTGTCAGTGACCCTCTCTCCCTGTCTGTCTGATCCTTTGGTTTTCTCTCTGCGCAGGGAACAGAAAGAGGCAATTGCTGAGATGGAGAAGCTGAAAGTGACCAATCAGGAGCTGGAGACAAGGCTGCAGCAGATCCAACAGGATCTTCAGGAAGCTCGGGATCGGCTGGTGGATCAACAGGAGGAAGCAGCTCACCGAGATGAGAGAGAAGGGTAAGAGAGCCTGTACATACCCCCATATTGAGTACATGCTCCTCACATTCCATTTACTACATATGTACACACCCACTGTCTATGTACAGTTCAGTTGTTGTGGGGTTGCTTATCGAAGTCTAGTTCCTTTTGATGCTCCCTGTGGTTGATTGGTCAAGCTCCCTGTGGTTGATATGGGATCCAGGAAAATTTACCAATTGGTTGATAGACCCAGAGGCAGGTTTGGAACATGGAGCAGACGTTTGAAGCAGTAAAAATAAATCCTGTTCCACATGAAGAAATCAGTGCAATCTCTGAATAGGTCTGCGACACAACTCATCACCATTGACGGTCCCTCGCAGGTGAGGATGACTCTCTTCCACTCTCAGGGGGAGTGTGTAGGTAGATGTACAGACTGATGAGGCTATCGCAGGCTCTGTTACACTTGTCGGGGGTGGGGTACAGGTGGTCATAGGACGGGGTGGGATGTGGTGCTGATGTGGCAGTGCCCTCCGTACGCTGTTTGCGCCTGGCGTCCACTTCTTCCCGATGCCAAGTCTTGAGAGTCTCGACACGTTCCCGGGATACTGATCCTGCTCTTTGGACGAGCAGGAGCTAGTGCTTCCCAGATGTCTGTGGGAATGCCGCACTTTGCCAGTGAGGCCTTGAGGGTATCAATGAAGCTGTTCCTCTGTCCAACTGGGGCTTGCCAGCTGTGTCGAAGCTGGGAGTAGAGCACCGACTTGAGGCGGGTTGTGTTGGTCGTGCGGACGATGTACCCAACCCACCATAACTGAACAAGGGTGGACAGTGCCTGGATGCTGGAGATGTTGGCCTGGTCACGGATGCTGGTGTTGGTGCGTCTGTCTTCCCAGTGGATTCACAGGATCTTGTGCAGGCAGCGTTGGTGTCACTTCTCCAGCACCTTGAGGTGTTTGCTGTGGACAGTCCACATCTCATACCCATATAGGAGGGCAGGAACTATCACAGCTCAATAAGCCATGAGCTTGGTGTCAGATCTGATGTTATTGTGCCATGTGTACACTGTGTACACAACCCAACCAACCTGTACACACCGAGTCAATGTGCCCACCTCCCACACACACAGCAAACACAGGGTCAAGGGAAACTATCAAAGCTTAATCTCACAATGATTCAGTCAGCGCCTGTGGATCCTAATGCCGGCACATTCCTGATGAACTGCTTGAATGGCAGCTGGGCTGAGATTTGGGATTGGGATTGGGATGTCGGTGAATGAGGAAATCTCCCAATGTAGGTCCGCAGTAACCCTTCCCTCCGTCAGTGACCCTCTCTCCCTGTCTGTCTGACCCTTTGGTTTTCTCTCTGCGCAGGGAACAGAAAGAGGCAATTGCTGAGATGGAGAAGCTGAAAGTGACCAATCAGGAGCTGGAGACGAGGCTGGAGCAGATCCAACAGGACCTTCAGGAAGCCCGGGATCGGCTGGTGGCTCAACAGGAGGAAGCAGCTCACCGAGAGGATAGAGACGGGTAAGAAAGCCTTATACTGAGCTATTATTACACACACTGTGTACAAACTCCATTTATTGACTGTGTACATGTGCTCTATATCTGTACCGTTCAATTGTTCTGTGATTGATTGTAGAAGTCTGTTTATTTTTTCTGCTCCCTCTGGTTGATTGGTTAAGTCTGGGTATGGACTCAGGGTCAAGTAAAGTCAAAGGAACTGGAAGTTAGAATTGGAACGTAGAGCAGACACTGAACAATTGGAAATGAAAACTATTGCACACACAGAAATTAATGTGATCTCTGCACAGATTGAGATATAAAATTTACAAAGTGTACACATGCCTTTCATTCTGTACATATGCCACTCACTTCATAGACACACCATATACTATATGGAAAATGTGTCCACATGCGACACACTGCATACACACTGTACTCACGGTGAACACCCTGAAAAAGTGTAAACACACTGAGCACTATGTACATGGGGACAGTGTGCATCATAGAGCCATAGAGTCCTACAGCACAGATACAAGCCCTTCAGCCCACACTGGTCCATGCCAACCAAAATGTCCATCCACGCTAACCCCATTTCCCTGCACATGGCCCTTATCCTTCTAAACCTTTCCTATCCATGTATTCATCCAAATGCCTTTTAAATGTTGTTAATGTACCTGCCTCAACCACTACCGCTGACAGCTCATTCCATATGCTTACCACCCTCTGTGTAAAAACGTTACCCCTCAGGTTCCCCTGTATTCTTTCCCCTCTTACCTTGAACTGATGCCCTCTAGTCATCGATTCCCCAAACCTGGGGAAAAGACTGAGTGCATTCACCCTATCCATGCCTCTCATGATCTTATATACTTCTGTAAGATCCTCCCTTCAGTCACCTACACTGTAAAGATAAATGTCCTCGCTTGGCCAACCTCTCCCTATAACTCAGTCCCTTGAGTCCTGGCAACACCCTTGTAAATTTCTTCTGCGCTCTTTCCAATTTAATGACATCCTCCCTATAGCAAGGTGACCAAAACTGAACACAATACTCCAAGTCTGGCCTCACCAACGTCCCGTACAACAGCAACATAACTTCCCAACTTCTATATTCAATACCCTGAATGATCAAGGCCAGCGTGCCAAAAGCCTTCTTCACTGTCCTGTCTACTGTGACTCCACTTTCAGAGAACCATGACCTGAACTCCAAGGTCCCTCTATTCCACGACACTCCTTAAGGCCCTACCCTTCACCCTGAAACTCCTACCTTCATTTCAATTTCCAGAATGCAACACCTCACATTTATCTGTATTAAACTCCATTTCCCATTTTGCGGCCCCCTTCCCTAAGATCTGATTACCTTCCTCACTGTTCACGACATCGCCTAGTTTAGTATCATCCACAAACTTACTAATCATGTCTTGTACATTCTCATCCAAAGCATTGATATTGATAACAAACAGCAATGGGCTCAGCATTGACCCCTGAGGCACACGACTAGTCACAGGCAGTAACCATTCCCTCTGTCAGTGACGCTCTCTCCCTGTCTGTCTGATTCTTTGGTTTTCTCTCTGTGCAGGGAACAGAAAGAGGCAATTGCTGAGATCGAGAAGCTGAAAGTGACCAATCAGGAGCTGGAGACAAGGCTAGAGCAGGTCCAACAGGATCTTCAGGAAGCTCGCGATCGGATGGTGGATCAACAGGAGGAAGCAGCTCACCGAGAGAAGAGAGAAGGGTAAGAAAGCCCTAATACTGAGCCCTCATCACACGCACTGTATACAAACTCCATTTATCGACTGTATACGTGTGGTCATGTTTCTGTACTGTTCAATTGTTCTGTGATTGATTGTAGAAGTCTGTTTATTTTTACTGCTCCCTCTGGTTGATTGGTTAAGTCTGGGTATGGACTCAGGGTCAAGTAAAGTCAAAGGAACTGGAAGTTAGAATTGGAACGTAGAGCAGACACTGAACAATTGGAAATGAAAACTATTGCACACACAGAAATTAATGTGATCTCTGCACAGATTGAGATATAAGATTTACAAAGTGTACACATGCCTTTCATTCTGTACATATGCCACTCACTTCATAGACACACCATGTACTAGATGGACAATGTGTCCATGTGGGACACACTGTATACACATTGTACTCACTGTGAACACCCTGAAAAAGTGTAAACACACTGAGTGCTGTGTACACAGGAGCAGGAGACAAGCCCTTTGGCCCAAACTGGTCCATGCCAACCAAAATGTCCATCCAAACTAACTCCATTTCCCTGCACTTGGCCCATATCTTTCTAAGCCTTTCCTATCCAGGTATTCATCCAAATGCCTTTTAAATGTTGTTAACGTACCCGCCTGAACCACTTCCGCTGACAGCAAGGTGCAGAGCTGGATGAACACAGCAGGCCAAGCAGCATCATAGGAGCAGAGAGGCTGACGTTTCGGGCCTAGACCCTTCATCAGAAAAGGGGGAGGGGAAGGGGGTTCTGAAATAAATAAGGAGAGAGGGGGAGGCGGATAGAAGAGGGATAGAGGAGAGGATAGGTGGAGAGGAAACAAACAGGTCGAAGAGGCGGGGATGGGGCCAGTAAAGGTGAGTGTAGGTAGGGAGTTAGAAAGGGGATAGGTCAGTCCAGGGAGGACGGACAGGTCAAGGGGGCGGGATGAGGTTGGTTGGTAGGAGATGGAGGTGTGGCTTGAGGTGGGAGGAGGGGATAGGTGGGAGGAAGAACAGGTTAGGGAGGCAGGGACGAGCTGGACTGGTTTTGGGATGCGGTAGGGGGAGGGGAGATTTTGAAACTTGTGAAATCCACATTGATACCATTAGGCTGCAGGGTTCCCAAGCGGAATATGAGTTGCTGTTCCTGCAACCTTCGGGTGGCATCGTTGTGGCACTGCAGGAGGCCCTTGACCTGTCCGTCCTCCCTGGACTGACCTATCCCCTTCCTAACTCCCTACCTACACTCACCTTTACTGGCTCCATCCCCGCCTCTTCGACCTGTTTGTTTCCTCTTCACCTATCCTCTTCTCTATCCCTCTTCTATCCGCCTCCCACTCTCTCCCTATTTATTTCAGAAACCCTTTCCCCTCCCCCTTTTCTGATGAAGGGTCTAGGCCCGAAACGTCAGCCTCTCTGCTCCTATGATGCTGCTTGGCCTGCTGTGTTCATCCAGTCCTGCACCTTGTTGTCTCGGATTCTCCAGCATCTGCAGTTCCTACTATCTCTGATTCACTTCCGCTGACAGTTCATTCCAGATGCATACCACCCTCTGTGTAAAAACGTTACCCCTCAGGTTCCCATGTATTCTTTCCCCTCTTACCTTAAACTGATGCCCTCTAGTCTGTGATTCCCCAACCCTGGGAAAATATCCGAGTGCATTCACCCTATCCATGCCTGTCATGTCCTTATACACTTCTATAAGATCCCACCCCTCAGTCACCTACACTCGAAAGAAAAAGTCCTAGCTTGTCCAATCTCTCCCTATAACTCAGTCCCTTGAGTCCTGGCGACATCCTTGTAAATTTCTTCTGCACTCTTTTTAGTTTAATTACATCTTTCCTGTAGCAAGGTGACCACAACTGAACACAATACTCCAAGTGCGGCCTCACCAATGCCCTGTACAACTGCAAGATAACTTCCCAACTTCTTTACTCAATGCCCTGACTGATGAAGGCCAGTGTGCCAAAAGCCTTTTTCACGGCCCTGTCTCCCTGTGACTTCAATTTCAGGGAAATGTGCACCTGAACTCCAATGTGCCTCTGTTCCACTGCACTCCTTAAGGCCCTAGTATTCACCATAAAACTCCTACCTTGATTTGATTTTCCAGAATGCAACACCTCACACTTACCTATATTAAAGTTCTTTTGCCATTTCTTGGCCCACTTCCCTGGCTGATCAAGATCCTGCTGCAATTTCTGATAACCTTCCTCATTGTCCACAAAACCGCCTATTTTAGTATCATCGGCAAACTTACTAATCATGCCTTGTACATTCTCATTCAAATCATTGATATAGATAACAAATAGCAATGGGCCCAGCATTGACCCCTGAGGCACACCGCTAGTCAGAGGCCTCCAGTCGGACACGCATCCTTCCACTATTACACCCTGCTTCCTCAATGAAGACAACTGGGTGTCCACTTTGCCAGCTCTATTTTGATTCCATACGATCTAACCTAACAGAGCAGCGTACTGTCTGCAACGTTATCAAAGGCCTTACTCAAATCCATATATACTGCGTGTACTGACCTGCCCTCATCAACCTTCCTGGTAACTTTTTCAAGAAATTCCAACAAATTTGTGAGGCATGATCTCCCAAGCAATGTTCAGACCCAGCCTCACTGTGGGACAGTGAGTGCCTGTGGTTCCCAATCTCAGGAAATTCCTGATGAGCAGCAGGAATGGGAGCTGGGCTGGGATTTGGGATTCAGGTGCCAGTGAGTGAGTGAATCTGAGAATGAATGTCTGCAGTAACCCTTCCCTCTGTCAGTGGCCCTCTCTCCCTGTCTGTCTGATCCTTTGGTTTTCGCTCTGCGCAGGGAACGGAAAGAGGCAATTGCTGAGATGGAGAAGCTGAAAGTGACCAATCAGGAGCTGGAGACAAAGCTGGAGCAGATTCAACAGGATCTTCAGGAAGCCCAGGATCGGCTGGTGGATCAACAGGAGGAAGCGGCTCACCAAGAGGAGAGAGAAGGGTAAGAGATTCCCAGGAGGTGGTGTGTCCCACTGAGTGTTTGATTCTGTCTCTCATCATCCGTCCCTGGATCCCTCAGTCCAACGTCTCACACACATTCCCAGCTCCTTATCCACCCCCACATGCTCCAATCACAGTCCCCCGTACCTCCACGGGGCAGAAACCCCCACCAGCTTCTGATTAGATACTGGAATTCCTGAATTTTGTCCCCAGCAGAGTTACATAGCAACAGCGATGGGCTGTTTGACCCTTGGAGCTGCTTCATCTAATCAACGTATTGGAGGGTAAATCAGATTAAATTTTTATCCTGGTTTTATTTTGACTCCTTTCCACCAATGAGAGGAAAGGATGGGGTGGCAGACAGTGGTCAGAAGGGCATGGGATCATGAGCAGGAGGTGGCCATTCAGCCTCTCTAGCCTGCTCTGCTATTCAATACAATCATGGCTGCTCTCATTTCAGCTTTAACTCCACTTTCCCGGCTGCTCCCCATTAATCTCCACAAATTAAAAACCTGGCTACCTCCTCCTTAAATTTACTCCATGTCCCAGCATCGATTACACTCTGGGTTAGTGAATTCACAGATTCACGGCCCTTTGAGAGAAGTAATTTCTCTTTAATTCTGCTACTCCTTACCCTAAACCTATCACCTCTCATTCGAGATTGTTCCACATGAGGAATCATCCTCGCTATGTCTACTTTGTCAATCCCCTCTCAGCATCTAATGTTCCTCAGTTGGATCTCCTGTCATTCTTCTAAATTCCAGACAGTATCAGCCTAATCTGCTCGATCTCTCTTCATAAGACAAACTCCTCGTATCTGGAATTAATGTCGTGAACCTCCTCTGAACTGACTCCAATACAACTACATCCCTCTTCAAGTAAAGGGACCAAAACTGTACACAATACTCAAGGTGCAGTCTCATTAATTACAATGTAAGAACTCCTGTTGAACACAAAATAACGATGCTCTCTCTCTCTCTGAATTTCTTCGACAGACTTCAGCGAACTCGCTCCATCCGACGCCGTGTGACCCAAAAACTGACCCCCCTGGGAGAGGACCCTGCACTCGCTCACCTGAGGGTCGAAGGTCAGGATGTGACCGTGGCGATGGGCGATGATGGAGATGGAGTCACTGAGGAACCAGCAGCATCTTCAGGAAGTGATGGAGCAGCAGACAGAATGAAAGAGGTAGCTGGGCCCAGGGAGCAGGTGTCTCCACCGTGAGAGCTGTAGCTGGAGGGAGGGCCTCAGTCCAGCAGGAACTGGTTCCCCCCGAGTGCAGTCCCCCACAGAGACACTCAGGTCTCCTCATCGAGCTGTGGGACAAAGGGCCCAGACCAGGCCTGAAACCCCTGTGAATCAGAGACAGTCTCTCACCTCCTGAAGGCCTCACTTTGTGTCAGCTCCAGCTTCAGGGAAAGTTAAACCAAGACAATTCGGGGAAATGCCATTAACAGAATGACTGACACTTGGCGATGACCTTAAATTACACAAGTTTTCCCTTGGATTCTGGGGGGAATGTGTTTTGGAAAGTAGGTGGTGGATACAACTAGCTGAATAATTCAGTCTCTCAGCACTACAGGATTAGAGTCTTTTGGGGAAAACGGGGTGTTTAATTGAGATTGAAGAAGACACAAGGAGAGTCAGAGACAGTGTCTGAGAGATAAAGGCTCAGACGAAGTGTACGAACAATGTGAGAGACTGACAGAACACGAGTGATGGGAGAGATACAGAGTGAGGCTGTGCTGTGTGAAAGGTGTCGATAGGTGGTTTACAGTGCACTTGTTGTGCGTTTTACCTTCCTATTGGTGATTGAATGCGGTGCCTTTGTGTGTTCCTGCTCCCAGTTACAGGAGGAGCTTGTCTCTCTGCGCAGTAAACAGGACGAGGCCATCGCTGAGAACCAAAAACTCAAAGTGACCAATCAGGAG